AGTGGTTGCGGTGAATTTAACTGCACCCATTAATATCACGCGATTATTTTTACCTGAGCTCAAAAAACGTCCTTGGGCGGCCATTTGCAATATATCAAGTTTGTTTGGTTTGATTGCACCTGTTGGCAATGCAGCGTACGCTGTAGCAAAATTCGGTTTGCGGGGTTTTAATGAGGTGTTACGTCAAGAGTTGATGCCAACCAATGTGAAAGTGATTTCCGTGCATCCTGGAGGTATTAAAACCAATATTGCTTTAAATGCAGAGGCGGCGAGCAATTATACCGAACAACAACGAGTGAAACTAGCCACTGAGTTTGGTAAAGCTTTAGTGACCACCCCCGAAAAAGCAGCTAGCATCATTATTGAAGGGATTAAAGAGGGCAGGCCCAAGGTGATTGTGGGGATGGATGCCAAAGTCATTGATTTTTTTGCCAGATTGGCGCCAGTGACGACATTAACGGTTCTGGGCAAGTTTGGCAACTATGGTTTGCGTAAGCGTGGGCACCTCAAGTGAAAACCTCCTTACAAGGCAAAGTGTTTGCGATTACCGGAGCGGGTAACGGCTTGGGTCGTGCTCTTGCGCTGCAGTTAGCGGCAAAAGGGTGTCAATTAGCCTTAATGGATCGTGATGCAGATGGACTACTGGCAACGCATCAGATGATTGTGGCGCAGCAGCCTAATGCGGTTGTTCTGACTGATGCGTTTGATATGACTGATGAGTCTAGCCAGCAGTTGTGGCTACAGAACATATTGCAAAAGTTTGGTTTTGTGGATGCCTTAATCAATAACGCGGGAATTGGGTTGTTTGGTCAGTTTGACGATGTCAGTCGCGCTCAGTTTGATAAAGTGATTGCCATTAATTTAATGGCTCCCATCAACTTGACTCGAATTTTTTTGCCTGAACTCAAAAAAAGACCTTGGGCATTGGTATGCAATATCTCGAGTTTATATGGGTTGATTCCGCCATTTGCCCAGTCGGCTTATGCGGTTTCAAAATTTGGATTACGTGGTTTTACTGAAGTCTTGCGCCAAGAGTTAATGCCAACAAAGGTTCGCGTATGTTGCGTGCATCCAGGTGGTGTTAAAACAGCCATTGCAGGTAAAGCCGAATTTGCTAGTAAAGTTGCCAAACAGGATATGCAGCAAATGGTGCGTGAATCAGACAAAATGTTATTGTCTACGCCTGAAAGTGCAGCTAAAGAGATTATTGCTGGAATAGAAAGACAAAACCCACGTATTATTGTGGGCTTAGATGCTAAAGCCATGGATTTTCTGTCGCGTTTATTGCCCGTCACGATGTTGACGTTGGTTGGGCGATTAACGCGCAAGGAAATGCTTAAAAGAGGTTTTTAATCTAAGCAAGGTTTTCCATATGGATCGCGTTGATGACCCTTGTTGTCGGCTCAGTGTTGTCATTATTTAAAAGATAGTTTAAAAAATAGTTGATTCACACAGGTTTTATTCTATTTTATCTTCTCCAACTCATTGATGGATATTGTTTTAGTTGCCATTGCTTCTTTATTAGCAGGACTCGTTGATGCGATAGTAGGGGGAGGCGGATTAATTTTAGTACCCAGCCTGTTTGCTATTTTCCCTCATGCTGCACCAGCGACATTATTTGGCACAAACAAAAGTGCTTCAATTTGGGGTACCAGTCTTGCGGCTTGGCGTTACGCACGCGGAACCGCTATAGTTTGGCCACCCCTTTTTCCGGCAATCATCCTCGCATTTGCTGGTGGGCTATTCGGAGCTTGGTGTGTTACCCAATTGCCAGCTGAAGGCTTTCGAAAAGCTTTACCCTTTATTTTATTGATCGTTTTTATCTACACTTTGCTTAAAAAAGATCTGGGGCAATATCACCAGCCACGTTTTTTTGCGTCAAAGGAAGCAACAATTGCTGCATTATTAGGGTTGGTTATGGGTTTTTATGATGGCTTTTTTGGTCCGGGGACGGGGAGCTTTTTAGTGTTTTTGTGGGTTCGGGTGCTGGGATATGATTTTTTGCGAGCCAGTGTTAGCGCAAAATGGATTAATGTCAGTACCAACTTAGCAGCGATCATCCTATTTGCAAGTAAAGGTTATGTCTGGTGGTATTGGGTACCGCTTTTAGCGGTGGCTAATATGGTTGGCAGTGTAGTTGGCACGCACTTAGCCATGAAACACGGCTCTCGTCTTGTGAGGCAGGTTTTTATGGTGGTTGTTTTTGCCTTAATTGTTAAAACGATTTGGGATGCTTTTTATTTTAAATAGGGCGTGAAATGGAAAAATGATAAAAAACATGATGATATAGCTGGAATTGCATCGTAATAAAGTCGCGCCATGAAAGCGAATCAATAAAAATTAAATAGGAATAAGCAGATGAGAAGTCAAGTCAGTGTTATATATTTATTTGATTTATAATTAGTTTAAATTAAACTCCCAACCACTTTAAAAATATGTCTTTTGATTTTATTAGTGAACTACTGCCCGTCTTAAATGTGGCCATTGCTCCGGTGATCCTGATTTCAGGGGCTGGACTTTTATTGTTAAGCATCACCAATCGATTTAGCCATGCCATAGACCGCGTGCGTTTGCTGGAAAAAGAAATGAACCCCGATGTGGAAGATGTCTGCCATAAAAAAGCACAGATGGATATTTTATTGTACCGGACTGGGGTTTTGCGCCATGCTATTCTTGCGGTGACAGGTAGTATGTTGTTAGCGGCGATGTTGATTATGACGCTTTTTGCAGCTGCCTTATTCAACTTAAACTTTGGTGGCGCCATCGTCATCTTATTTGTTTGCTGTTTATTGGCTTTGATCCTAGGACTGGCCTTTTTTATGTGGGATGTCAACCAGTCGCTCGTCGCTTTGCGGCTGGAAGTGTTACAGTCTAATAGTTAGAAGTCAATGAGTTGGTGACTACTTACTCTTGTCAAGATATGAAAAAACAACAAATTTATTGTCCATGCTGCCGCTGGAAACCCAAATCAACTAGCGAATGGATTTGTGTGCCTGGCTGTGGTTATGCTTGGAATACATTTTTAACACGAGGCATGTGTCCAAGTTGTGCAAAACAGTGGCAAGATACGACGTGTTTATCTTGCCTTAAAACATCACCCCATTTGCGTTGGTACCACGATCCAGAAGATGAGCCACACGTGGAGGTTGATGATTTGGTTGATGTATATGCTTAATGGGAATCGCCACCCTAATCGACAAAAGGCTAGATTAATCCAAATTAGCGTGATTTAAGCGGCTTGTTCTGTTAAAATACGGGGCTATTTTTTGGTTTTGTGCATCGAAAGCACATCATCTGTGTTCTCCTCAAGCCTC